GGTCATTGGTTAAGATTAAAAAGTGTTATAGTTACAAAAGATATGAAATGTTTTAAATACTGATGTTGATGTGAGATTTCTATTTAGAATTAATGAAAATCTCATTGTTAGATTTTACACTTTATACATGTAATAAAAGTTGTTGTCACAACTTTACTTAACACATTTACTAATCAACCATAAGGTAAAGTAGTAGTAATTCATAATAGCAACAAGTTGATAAGTCATCCAAAAGTAACATTTGATTCAAACAAAAAAAGTGGTCCAACATGGTCTAAATCATAAAAAGTATTCCACCACTACATCATTATATCTTAAGAATGAAAAACATAAAAATCCTAAACATGTCCATAAGACTCCATATCTTTTCAATTTCTTGACTTTTGACTTTGTTGCAAATTAAATATTTTATGTTGCATAGCTTTCCTTGCCATTTGTGTGAATTTTTTTAATGAAATTTTAAGTATAGTTGGAAGTTTAGGTGGGAAGTTTGAACAATAGATTCAAAAGGTGAATTAGATGTTAGATTGAATTTACTTATTATCTCTTTGCCTCTTTTGAAGATGAGAGTAATTGTTGAAAAAAGTGTGATGCGAAATTGATAGATCTATCCTTGAGTAAGTTTAATTAAGTCAATAAATATATTTGTGTTATAAAAATAGTGTATCTTATTCTAGAAAATTCAAAATTAATGTTATCGAAACGAGGTGAGATTTACTGTTTTAAAATACAAAATGCTATCAAGAAATACTAAAAAATAATTATTAAATAGTGAGATATGATTATGAGATAATTTGAATGAAAATTAGGATTTAAATGTGACAAATAAGAAAAATTAAAAAGATAGAAAAGAGAAGAAGAGAAAAAAGTGCTAAAAACTCAATTTAATGGAGAATAGAGCATGATAAGTTTGATGTACAATCGTCACAAGAGTGTGAGAATAATAAATTTTTCAAGAACCCTAAGAGACACATAAGCTCTCTTAAAGAGGTAATGCTCAATTCTTATTCAAAATTGAAGTTTCTTTCTAAAGAAGTCTTACATAAGTATTTATAATAACAAGTAAAACCCTAGAAGACTTTAGTAATGACAAAACCCAACAACAATAATTTAACTAAAAACTCTTAAAGGCTTTAATAATCAAGCCCACTAAACATAACCAAATATAAAATCCTAAGAGACTTAATAACTAATGTGGTCTAGTCTACTAATCTAAAATATAATAAACTACTTAACATAAAATTTTGCCCAAAAATACAAGTAAAAATAAGGATGGGGTTAACATAAATTAAATTTAGCCATAATCTTCATAATTTTCAATTAGAATACAAAGGTCTAGCCTTTGATTCTTCTCTTCCATATTCTAGGACACTTTGAACATTGTTGTCACCATTTTATCTACAACTTCTTAAACTTTCTTTGCTTTTGATCTTGTCATAGGACCTCTAAATCCTTATAAAAGATTCAACCCTTTATTTCATTCCTTCTTCATCTTTTTACCTTGTTGGTTCTTCTCTTCCATGAATGTGACTATTGAGAAGGATTGTTGCTATTGTTGGTGATTATTGAGAGAATGTTATTGCATTTATAGTGGTTGTTGTTGCATTTATGTATGGTTGTCATGATGGTTGTGATGAATTATTTGTATTTGCAGAGAATGGTATAGATAGAGGCCTGAGTAGTACATTTTGACAAATATTCTTATTATGATCATATATGCCATATTTTGAACATGTTATGAATGTGTTTCTTCAGTTCAACTTGTTTAGTTTCATAGACTGGTCTTTCTTTCTCTCTCTCTTCTAGTTTTCTTTGGTTTTCAACTAGTGTTCTATACCTTGGTGGCAATCTAGCCTATGGCCAAATTTCCTTTCCATTAGCTAATAGTAGTATAATAGGTAACATTTTTCATAAGTCTCAGTTGCATAACATTAATGAACAAAATGAAGTGTAGTATAATACATCATGAATTATTGAAATAATTTAAGACTATGATTAAAAAAAATAGAGACCTTTTTTGTTGTAATGTAGTATAATACATCATAAAATTTGTACAGATGTATGATACGATGTGTAGTTTAACTTTTTAATAAAAATTATATTGACAAAAATAATTTTAATGCTTAAAATATTTTATCTTTAACATGTGTTGCCTTAAAAAATTTTAAAAATCGTATAATTATCAATCTAATCTAAAAAAATAAGATTAAATTTAACATTGTATTCAAATTGATGCACAATAAATTATATGTTACTTTTATGAACTAAATCAATTTGTTTTGTTTAAAAACTAAGTTAAACTAAACTTCAGACACATTTTTATACTATGAAAGAACTAGTGAGTTTGTAGACTCATTCTCTTAGGAGACAATAATATGTTAACATAAAAAATTCTATTTTTTAATTTTAACTTTAGTACATAATATTTTATATATGTTATACATTGTAAACGAACTTTGAAGTTTTGATGTGTTACCCTTAGTTAACCTTAAATCTAACACTCCCAATCTAGAGCAATGGTTGTGGATGAATGTAGCAAGACCAAGAAAAGACATATCCATGTCATCGATAACTTTAGTTCAAAATGTTATTGATTAAATATATTTTTAAATTATATATTTTTGTGATATTTTAATTTGCTTAAAGAATTATGTATTCTTTTAAATTATATTGTATTTGATTTTATTTTTAAAAATAAAAAATTATTTTTAAGCAAAAATTAAACATGCTCTTACTCTTTTTTGTCTCTAATAGTTTTTATTTGATATTAATGTAAAATATATATTAAAAAATAATTAGTTTAACTAATTCTCATAATAAAATTTTATTTACTAAAATATTTTTCTTAAAAGTGCTAAAGTTATTGCAGTTAGGTGATAACTAATTTTAAAGTTATCATAGTTTTTAGTTGAAAAAATTATTTTTAATAAATAAATATATTAAAAAATAATAAATGATTTCTTAATATTTTAAAATAACAAATAATTTGAAACAAATAAATTTTTTTTAAATAACAACTAATATGAGACAGAAAAAGTATTGTAGAAAACAATATCATTATTAAAGATTTAAAAATTAAATTTAAAAAATTGAAAATTAAATTCAAGAGATTTTTTTAATAAAATCAAAGTCTCAAAAATTTATAAAAAATATATATTTTAGCCAACTATTAGGTAAAAGAAATTGCACTGGACTCAAGAATCATCTTGGACCAATTCTATACTGACGAGAGCTGAGGTAATGCAGAGTTCAATGAGCAAATGGAGCGTGAGGTCTATCATACACAATACACATTGTAACCACACCATCTATCTCTTGCTCCCTCTTAATCAATACACTACAGCCAAATTTTGACTCAAAATTTTATTTTTATTTTTATTTTTATTTTTAATAACATTTTTTCTTTCTTTGTATATTGTAATCATACATTTTTTTATTTTTAAAATTTTTTTTGTTAATAATATTGTTCATATTTCAGCTACTTTTATTTTGTTTATTTTGATGATATAATTTGATTTTAAAAATACAAAATATCTATTTATTAACGAGTTAGTACGTTATTAACAACTTTACCATTTATAGATAACTTGACCATCAATATCTTTTTTTTTTTTGGACAATTTAGTCATTGATAAACTATTGAGAATTTGTGTTGACTGTTTGGTTATCTATATTACTGATACTTGTTATGTGAGTTTTTTAACTGTTTCATAGTTATTAATGATTTAAATTTTTTTAATACGTGAAACATTACATAGTAAGAAATTATATAATATTTTGTATAAAAATTTATAACACTTAATATTATTAATGCATTAAATTATCTTAAATATTGTGATTTTTAATAAAAACTTATTATATCTCACATGTTAAAATAATTAATAATTTTACACTAAATGGATTTCACCCATTAGTGACAACTTTTAGTCATCATTAATAATAATTTTTTTTTTGCATTTATATATTTTTTAAAATTTAAAAAGGTTATTTTATTTAAGCATGATTAAGATTTAATTAGACATAGATAAGATTATAAAATAAAGAATAGAATAAAAGTAATATTATCTTTTCATGTTATAAAAGAAACTATTATAACGCAATAAAATATATTTAAATGACATTGCGTTTATTCTTTTACTTAAATAGATAAATGAACATAACTATTAAAATAACAAATTAATTATATAATGAACATACTTTATAATATTTATAAATACATGAATTTTTCTTTTTATTTTAAAATATTATACTATACTTTTAAATAAAAATGATTCAAACTAACATAAAATATATATTTATTAAAGTAAAATAAAAACACAGAGAAAATAATATTTTTACATGAACTTTTAAAACTTATTTTAAGTATTTATGAGTAATATTTTTTAATTATAACAACTGAAAGCTTCGTGGAATCTTCAGATTTTAGTCCGAGGCAGGAGCTAGTGGTTTTGGCCAACACAAGGGGAAAAAAAAAGAAGTTTAAAGCGGCAGGCACGGATTTGGCACTGATTGTTTATTATTTTATTAAATTAAATATATAATAACAACAAAAACAATTAGACATTCACATGTGATTGGAGGTAAAGGAGAAGTGAGTTAGAAACGAAGAAGAAGGGGCGTCAAGTTCAAGAAAAGAACGCCATTGCACTCGTTTTTGTTTTAGTTGCTGTTTGTATCTTCACAATGATCAAATTAAAAATAATAAATAATAAATTTAACAAATAATATAATGGATAAAAAAATATTATTAAAATGTTTAAAATTAAAGTTATTTTCATTGTGAGAAAAATAAATTTAATTATTTATCCAGAGAAATTAGATAGGGAGAGAGAAAGAGAGAGAGAGAGACAAATGTTACCGTTTTGGCTCCAAATGAGACTACTTTTCAACGTAATTCGCTGCTTTGTCACTCACTCTCGCACCTCTTTTCCCTTCTCTTCTCTATCTCACTGACGCTCACCGCCGGAGCTCCATTTTCGGGCCAAAACCTCTCGCCGGCGGGATCTGACCGGCAACCAGATTTGGACACCATGCTTTACCAACAAAGTTTTCATCTTTAAGAAAACCCAAGTCATTTTCATCCACACACACACTCTCTAGTAAACATGGTTCTTTTTCTACTTCGGTGGTTTTTCTTCTTCTTCTTCACTACCCATCACGCAAATGCCCTCAATGCTACGATTCCGAACGACGCATTGTCTCTTCTCAGCTTCAAACGCTTTGTCTCTTCCGACCCTTTGAACCTTCTCTCTGCCTGGAGCAACCGAACTTCTTCCAATTTCTGCCACTGGCACGGCGTCGCGTGCGGCGGCGCAAGCCTCTCCGGCAGAGTAACTGCCTTGAGTGTGACGGGTCTTCGCGGCGGCGAGTTGGCTCCTTCCGTCGGAAACATGTCAGAGCTTCGAGTCCTGTCCCTCGCCGGAAACATGTTTTCCGGCGAGATTCCCGCGAGCATTGGAAATCTCCGGTTTCTCGAGGTTCTTGAGCTGCAAGGAAACAACTTTTCGGGGAGAGTTCTCAACCAGATGAGTTTTCTTAAATCTCTTCGCGTTGTTAATCTCTCTGGTAATGCCTTTTCAGGTTCAATACCAAGTGAATTTATTGGCTTTGGGAGTGTGAAAATCGTTGATTTATCGAATAATCAGTTTTCTGGGGAGATTCCAGTGAGTGGTTTGAGTGGTTGTGATTCCTTGAACCATTTGAAGTTGTCACATAACTTTCTCACTGGGGAGATTCCACCCCAAATTGGGAAATGCAGAAATTTGAGGACCCTTTTGGTTGATGGGAATATATTGGAAGGTAGGATCCCTCCTGAGATTGGGTATGCTGTTGAACTAAGAGTTCTGGATGTTTCTAGAAATAGTCTCACTGGAAGGATTCCCAAGGAGTTGGCTAATTGTTTGAAATTGTCTGTGCTTGTGGTCACTGATCTGTTTGAGGATCGTAACGAGGGAAGCTTGGAGGATAGCTTTAGAGGAGAGTTCAATGCCTTTGTTGGGAATATTCCTCATGAAGTTTTGTTGCTTTCGAGTCTGCGGGTTTTGTGGGCGCCGAGGGCAAATCTTGGTGGACGGTTGCCTAGTGGCTGGACAGATTCATGCTCTCTGAGGGTACTCAATTTGGCACAGAATTATGTTTCCGGTGTTGTGCCCAAGAGTTTGGGGATGTGTAGGAATTTGACTTTCTTGGACTTGAGTTCTAACAATTTAGGTGGATATCTGCCTTCACTTCAGCTTCAGGTTCCTTGTATGATGTACTTCAATGTCAGCAGGAATAATATGTCTGGCATTGTTCCAGGATTCAGGAAAGAAAGTTGTCATATGAGTAGTGCTCCTGCTGCACTGGACTCTTTATTCCTAAGATTGGATGGTTTTAATGAAGCATACTTTAGTATTCCTGTTTGGAGATTTCAAAAGAATGCTCTCATTGATTTGGATTTTAAAGATACTAATGTTGTCAGCCATGATTTCAGTTGGAACAGTTTCGTGGGATCCTTGCCTTTGTTCTTTCTTGGAGATAATCTTTTTGCTGCAAATCAGAACGTCTCCTACATGCTGTCTCTCAATAATAATAAGTTCAATGGAACTCTACCGTATCAGCTAGTTTCAAACTGTAACGACCTCAAGACATTGTCTGTTAACTTGAGTGTGAACCAACTTTCCAATGGGAATTCCCAAGCATCATTTTTGGAGTGCCTGAAGTTGACAGATTTTGAAGCAGCATACAACCAGATTGATGGGTCAATTGGTCCTGGTATAGGTGACTCAATGATGCTTCAGCGTCTTGATTTAAGTGGGAACAAACTATCTGGGTCACTCCCTAATCAGTTGGGAAACCTACAAAACATGAAATGGATGCTTCTGGGAGGAAACAATCTAACAGGGGAAATTCCTTCCCAACTTGGTCAATTGAATTCCCTTACCGTTTTGAATCTTTCTCACAATGATCTAGTTGGAACTATTCCACCAAGTTTGGCAAATGCCAAAAGCCTTGAAATTATGTTGCTAGATCACAACAACCTTTCTGGTGAAATACCTCTACCTTTTTCTACACTTTATAATCTTGTTCAACTGGATGTTTCTTTCAACAATCTTTCTGGTCATATTCCTCATCTTCAACACCCAAGTGATTGTGATTCTTATAAAGGAAATGAACACCTGCACTCTTGTCCTGATCCATATTCTGAGCCACCTGCTTCTCTTCCTGTGCCCCTTGAAATTCAGCATTTGCATAAACGGAGGAAATTAAGAACATTGGTTATTGCTGTGGTCACTTCAGCTTCTGTGGCTCTCTGCACACTTCTGGGAATAGTACTAGTGATCTTTTCTGGAAGGAGTAAACTTGGTCGGCTTAGCAGCATTAGAAGGCGACAGGTAGTGACTTTTCAAGATGTTCCAATAGAATTGAGTTATGACAGTGTAGCCACTGCTACAGGAAATTTCAGCATCCGGTATCTAATTGGCACTGGTGGCTTTGGGTCAACATACAAGGCAGAACTGTCCCCTGGGTTTCTTGTTGCCATAAAGAGGTTGTCCATAGGTAGATTTCAAGGAATTCAACAATTTGAGACAGAAATAAGGACATTAGGGAGAATTCGACACAAGAATCTTGTGACTCTTATTGGTTATTATGTGGGAAAGACTGAAATGTTCTTAATTTACAATTATCTTTCTGGTGGCAACCTTGAAGCTTTCATACACGACAGGTCAGGAAAAAATGTGCAGTGGCCAGTTATTTACAAAGTAGCAAAAGACATAGCCGAGGCCCTTGCTTACCTTCATTACTCTTGTGTTCCTCGCATAGTTCACCGGGATATCAAACCTAGCAACATCTTACTTGATGATGATCTTAATGCCTACCTGTCTGATTTTGGCTTGGCTCGACTGCTTGAGGTATCTGAAACCCATGCCACCACTGATGTGGCAGGCACATTTGGTTATGTTGCACCAGAATATGCCACCACTTGCAGGGTTTCGGACAAAGCAGATGTTTACAGCTTTGGTGTAGTGTTACTAGAATTGGTGTCTGGAAGAAAGTCACTTGATCCATCATTTTCTGAATATGGAAATGGATTCAATATTGTTCCATGGGCTGAGCTGTTAATGACTGAAGGTCGTTGTTCCGAGCTATTTTCATCTGTGCTGTGGGAAGCTGGGCCTAAGGAAAAGTTATTGGGGCTTTTAAAGCTTGCATTAACATGCACAGAAGAGACACTTTCTATTCGACCATCAATGAAACAGGTTCTTGAGAAATTGAAACAATTGAAAAGTTGAAAACTTTCTGGTAGTCATACTGAACAGCAATGGAGTGCTGCTTTTGTCCGCTGGAAAATATTTCAATGAGGTGAGTGATCTAATATATACTTCTGCAAATTTCTTTTATCATTCTGATATTTGGGGTTTGCATGGGATACAGGTAAAGAAGTATTCTGTATGTTCCATATACACGTGGAACTACTTGAGAAGGAATAACCATTCATCTTTAACTGCACCCATATTTTGAATCAGTAAAAATCTAACATCAACAGTGTGACATTACACCGAATGTCCCTCTGAGATAAATGTTCTTTCGTTCTCATGCTAATATTAATCTATTTAATATCAGCATGAGAACATCTCTATTTATACTAAAACTAATCTGTTTTTCTAATATTAATCTCATGCTAATAGTTTACACTGTTGTGCCTCTTCTCTGTTTACACTTTTGTGAAAGAAGTTTGACACTATCTTGATTATTACAATGCTAAGTTCCCAAATCTCATAATAGTATTTGGTCATGGGCTGGTCCATGATTCTCTCAAGTTGAATACAATTTTTAACAATTTATTGCAGTATGAGAGAACCAAATAAATTGTGCCCCATGCTGTGAGTATTTTAATGCACTGATCATATTAACCTTCAATTATTGATACTTTCAATTTTATGCATGTTGGGCAGATGACTTGCAAAATTTTACACGTTCAGCAACTGCAAAGCTTATCATGATCACTTTATTTATTGCCACTAGGAATCCTATCACAGTGGCAAACACATGAGCTGTTCCTGTTACTACAAAGCTTGTATTGTTGCCTCTTTCACATTTGTGCCAACAATTTTCACATCATCTCAAGATTCACGGTTTTTTACGCGACCGCATGGGACCTATGAAAGATCCAAAGTTCTTTATTGACGTAGTAACAAAGCATTTGTCATTATTCTGCAGAGAAATATGCCAAAATTGCAAGTCCTCTTTGTCAAAATTTACCAAATGGTGTAAATATTAGTCGTTCTTATTGATGTAAACCTTGCAAGAATCTTAGCGAGGAGAATAGGGTGTTTCTCTACATTTTGATTGATTTTTTTTTTTACTAACATGTAAATATAAAAGTAGAGAGGAAAACAATTTTCCAATTCTATTATTATTTTTATTTTATTTCAATTTTCTTAACAATTGGATTGGTTTTAATATTTTATTTATGCGCACAAAATATTAGTATCTTAGAATTTTAGCAATTGACTATGACCATATTTCTTGTGCACGTCGTTTTATGGAAAGTAGTAAAATCAATGTAATCAAAGACTTTACAATAGTATTATCATCAAATCTGTAGACCATTAAGTCTGTGTGTAGAATGGTATTGAATTGTTTATTGCTCTATCATCATTGCAGGCATCTTTGAATACTCTGACCATAGGAACCACTTGACGGAAGACGCGACTTGCAAATGTGGCCCGAAATTTGAATATCACATGACTACAATTAGTTTGTCACAATTAGTTGACCAATTTTGACGACTTAGTATGAATGAAAATCTTTTGTTTTATGGTAAGTCCTTTGCTTTTTGATTCCCGAACTAGTTTCTTCTCTCAATTTCATTGTCACATTACTTCAATCTTTTAAGATTTTTTATCTAAGTCATCTCTCATATTTAATTTATCATCAAAGTAGTTATTATTTCAAATTTGTTATTGAAAAAAAAAATTCTTGATACCCATCTTCAAATATAAATATATATATATATATATATATATATGAGAAAAATTTTCTTACACTAATATAAATCTAAAAATTTTTATACTCAATCTAGACCTTTTATTTATATTTAATGGTCAATAAAATAATAAACTATAACATATTAAATATAAGTTAAATAAAATAAAAAGCTAAAAAATTTTAGATTTATACTAGTTTGAAAAAATTTTGTTTCATATATGTATTTTCACCACTTTAACCTTTTCCCTTAGATCTTTACAAAATTAATTTAGTAATAGATTTAATTTTTGAAAACTCTATTTGGGGATAACTTTTGAAGACTAATATGAGAAAATTTAAGTTTTTGAAAGACCAAATGAAAGTTTAATACATATTTTAGTGAGTCTTGAATACAGAATATGTAGGACTAATTATTTTAATGAAAATTGCTGGGGAATATTCTAGCAGCAAGGGAGAATTGGAGGGTCAAAGTCAAACACAATAGAAGTAACTATAGCAGTATTGAAGCAACCATAATATTTATATTACTAATGTTATCTTAACTATTGACATGACCTATTGTCAATATCTAATGCCCTTTTCAGGAAATAACTCGGGTTTATTTCAACATTACCCATATTTTTATACTTTTCAACACTTGATAATTTGTGCGATAGTTGAATTATTTTAACTACATGCTATCAATAATAAAAAAACATTGACTGAGTTTGTCAAAAAATAAAATTGCGTACTCAGTACGAGAGACTTGAGACGTATTTGATTATATTTGTACTTTCTTATTTTAAAAATTATTTCAAAATATTATTCCTCAGAACTATTCCAAAGAATAAAAAATTTAAAATATCACACACCTTTTAGTAAACTTATTTTTTAACCAGATTCACAGTATAAAAAATCAATCTGATATACACTGTTAAAAATAAGTTTTCAAAGTTAAACTGAAAAATACAGAAATCTTACTTGATATGAATGTTTTTCAATGAATTTTGCGTATGATAATTTATAATTGGTAATAAGCTTTTAAAATGCTTTGTATAAAATTTTAAAAATATAAAAATTTCAAATCGTTGTACATTACCCATTATTGGAGTAGCAAATTTTCCCTGCCTATTTGTTGTGACTACTCATTCCCGTTTATTAAGTTCCTAAAAGTCATATATGGAGCATCCAAGCTTCGTTACAATTGACCAAAAACAGAACAGCCTTCCTTACAAATACTTGATATTATAGGTCCCTCTTCTACATATCTGATTAATTTACATAAAGTTTCTTAATGAAAAATTGCATTTTTCACGGTTATATGAATTTAAACACCAAGGTAGCATAATTTACTAAACAGGGTTCCCACAGCAACCAACTCAAATCACTTTGGTACATATGTTTTTATTTGTACCAGACACATGGATTTTAATCATCCATTTTTTTTCTTTTAACCATCATAGACAAAACAAAGCCTTAAAAACTTATACCAGACATAAAATCATTTATACAAACATTTTTTAACACCCCATATATCTCAACATCCTCAATTTTGAAATACATACTCATAGTAACTTCTAAAATCCCCCATCAATTATGATAGAAAATGTTGAAAAAATACAAGTACTTACTGAACACCGATCCGTCCCCTCATCAAATATCTTATCTTTCACCTGACTATGGAAGCAAGACATTTGCGACCGATACTAGTCCTAGCTATGACCCATAATTGATATAACATTTATTGGGGTAACATCAAGTGGTAATTGCATTAAATTACATGTATAAAATTGAAAATAATTAACTAGGCCAAACATTGTAATCGAGTATGCTTCAGAATCAGGGAATTAACACAGGAATGATTGAAAAAAGAATAAAATATAGAAAGCACATTGACATAGACTTACATACAGAAGCCGGTAGACAGAAAGCAGAAATTATCTAACTTCTTCCATCTAAGAAATGAGACATCAATCTAGTATTGTGTCAAGAAAAATTCTATAACTTTAGGCAATTTCAGAATTATCATTATTAACAAACACTGGCATGTACATGAAACAGATAAGCACCTTTTGAGAAAGCCATCAAGGAGTAATGTTTCCCTGTCTTGCCTTGAGGACAAGCTCTTCAGTGGTGGTGCCAATGATCTCATTAGCTCGTTTTAGCCCAACACATTGATACCGACCAATAGAATCCTGAATCCCAAGGTGAGCTTCCAATCAACAAAGATATCAAAATCTTAAGGAAATAATTTCTTGGGGCCACAATATATTTAATAATATTAAATTTTCCTTGATGCTCATAGTCTGAAACTATATTACATTCTATCAAATGATAATTAATGTGTTCAAGAACAAATATGACTTATTGGTAAACAGGATTTAACTATTATTATTTCAACTGCTTCCAGAATCAAAATTATCAAGTTTAGTAATAACACATTTGACAGAAGTTTAGACAACCAACGTTATCTATACTACTGTAAAGGAAACATCCCATGAGATTTTTCCTAATCGCTTTTATTTTAAAGAAATTGGAATTTCCTAGTACTGTTAACATTATAGTCATCATACCTTACAAAGGATTTGAAACCAGTCACTTTAACATTTAATTGGAGAGAGATTAAAGATAGAATGGGATATACGGAGAGAAAAAGAAGAGGAAATAATTAAATTAAAGTTACAGCAAATAAAAATGCTTAGTTTTCCTTTAAAGAGGTGCAGTACAAAATACTTCGCCATACATACAAATTACTGGAGATTAGAATGAGAAAATTTTGAGCAATCTCACCCGAGTAACAATTCCCAATTTCTCTAATTTCTGAACTGCATCGTCCACATCAAAATTACATTCTTCGTTAAACTCTTCTTTGATTAGTTCCTCACACCATTGATCAAGATCCTGATTCACATTACCATACAGCTAATATAAGTACTTAAATAAACTAAAAGAAACCTTATTTTTCCTAAGTATATAATAGAATTTTTAAATAAAAAGGTGGCAGAGAAAACATAAAACAAGATTGGTAAAATCTTGTGTTCATGTATATACCTGTCTTGTAGCTTTGCCTTGTTCCATCAGAATAAAGAATGAAACTATTACCTCTTTGACCTATTCATTTAAAGAATTTTAAATTAGTAGCCAATAGGTTAGATCTTTGGGCAGATAGTTACAGAAATATCAAATGAGTCTCAACTAAAAATAAAGGTTAGCTGTAGGCTTGTAGCACCTAGCAAATGATCTTCCACAATCTAATCACTCACTTCTCAGTCTTGAATGGTTAGCAATAACAGTATAAATTAAAAATGCCAAGGAAAAAAAAAAAATTAAAAACCCAACTCTCTGTGGCACCCACACCATCACCGACAACCCCATGGCCATCACCCATCAGATCCACCAAAACCAGAGCACTAGTTACAGCCAATCAAAACAGAACCAAACACCTAAACAGAGAACAATAATACAACCAAACCAGCAAGCATTGATGCAAAAACAAACCGGTATGCTCCCACCTCCCACCCACCCTAACAAAACAAGAAACAGATAGAAAGAAAGAGGAGTTCAGCCACAACCCAAATCTGCCACAGTCAAACCAAAGCACAGGCCTAGACAAACCACTCACACATCAAAGGCACACAGGGAAAAAATCATTGCAGCAGGGGACCTAATGGAATGTATGATAAGGTCAATGGAGTGTTCAGAGTTCAAGGCAGCTAGATTTTTTCTTCTGAAAAATAGGCTGCTCAACTCCTTAAATAGTGGCTCTACCAGACTGCAAAAATTACCTGGTTGCACTGATAACACAAGCTTGCCTAACAATACTAACGCAATCTCACCAAAATGAGTTGGTGTGAGTAATCAAGGTTGAAGCTCCTATAAAAAAGCGTAAGACCATGTGATCCTACAAGGCTACAAGGAAGATTGCAATCTTAAGTAACAGTCCTGCCAATAATTAGAAGAGTTAAACCTTGCAAAACTTTTTCTTTGCAAGCAAAATCTTTATTTGATTACCACTTAATGGAAATTTAGTAGAGGATTTGAGGGGGGAAATCCCAACTATCGTATGCACAACAGACAACTTCAATTGCGTGATGGGCATGCCACAAGCCTTAGGAGCTGGGTTTAAAAACTTCACATTCTTCAAGTAACAGGTCTGCATACATGGCCTTGGCAAGCCAGTTACCATTAGTTCTGGCCATTTTGGCCAAACAGGACATTGAGGGTTGACCAGACTAATAAGCTGTCTAGTTTCAAGTGCCGATAGAATGCCAGCCCTACCCTTTTTTCTAAAATATTCTAAAAACATTAACAAAATTTATCAATGTAGATTTAATTGAAAAAAAAAGCATAAAATCAAGCTAGCACTTACCTCCTGTTGAATGACATCATCACACAGATGAAGAAGTGTACCCTTTCCACTGTCCAGTTGTTTGTCATACATTGACTGTGTAATCAAATTTTGATACTGAGCCAAGTTTTGTTGGAACCTATGGGGAAGAAAAAGTAGCCACAATGATTAAATAGATTTTTCAAATGAATTTACTCGCAAACAATGTGGCAATGTTAACAAGCCAATGACCAACAGATTTCTTTAGATTACTGTCATCGTATAGCATATATTTCCAATAGAAGGTAACAGTTAATACTTACGTGAAGTAAGTCTTGGCACAATAACCAATTACTGTGGAGAGAACAGCAATGATGACCCACCAATCAGCTGAAGGCATTTCAAGTGAACTAACTACAGCAACCTGTAAGTGTGAAGAACATTAGATGCATTAGTACAAAATGATGAAAAATAGAAACATTCAATTTAAGATTAAAAAAACTAACCAGCCCAACTATAGCTGATCCAAGAAATTTGACCCAATCCATTGGAGTTAATCCAGGGTTTTTCTTTTCTGGCTGTCAAGTAAGAAGTTCTTGACCAAGGTCATCAGTGTGTTTGTAGGGGGAGAAGTTAACTAGGTAATAAAAATTATGTTTTTAAAATGCTTCACAAATGAGGTAACTCACAAGAACTATTTCCATATCAGCCATTGGAATGTTTTTGAAATGCTTCACAAATATTCCTCGTTCTGCTTTTGATTTGTTACCAGCTCTCCTGGAAAATTAATTTGCTTTTTAGATTTAAAATTTTCAATAGAAGTGTGAGACAAAAAGCAGATCTACCTGTAGATAACAATTATCCTATCAAATGTCGGTTCTTGGATTAAGGTCTTGCCCAACAAATTACGGAATCTGGAAATTGCAGCAAACCATCACATGAGTGATCATCTCATCACACACTCAATTTATGCAACATGGATGCATGAGCATAGCATTTTCTGTGAAAAAGAAACTCATGCGCTTCAAAGGAAAATCAGCAAATGGACAAATATATGTGAAACTTTGAGGCATTTGGATCATGTTTTGAACCCATACTACATATTAATGAAGATTTTATACACAAAATACAAGATGGGAGGCTAAAATGGAGAAAAGGCACCGAGAGTTATTTTTTACCACAAAACACTTACCAAGCTTAAAGAGAAGTTAAATTGAACTGTCAGATGACTAGTTATCCTTGATGGTAGTGAATGTTGGGCTTTAAAAAGGCAATAAAAAAAATGGCAGTAGCAAAAATAAAAATGTTACAATGACATGTGACCATACAAAAAGGGATAGAATAAGAAATGATTGTATACAAGAAGATATTGGAGTAGCAACCACTAAGGAGAAGATAACAAAAAATTGTTAACATAGTTTAGACATATGTTAAGAAGAGAAGACTATTGGATACACCAATGAAGAGAGTAGATTACATGATATATAACCTTGTAAAAAAGGGTAGAAAGAGACTAAGAAGAATTTTATAGAAAATTCTAAAAACAAATTTCAAGACTAATAATATTTCTAAGAATTTAGTGTTAATCAAGTCCAATAATGTTGTGACCCACGTAGCCAACCTCATTTAGTGGGATAAGGTTGTTATTTGTATACATAATTTAAGTTTTAAACTTTTACCCAGCAGTAAATAAGCTAAAGGAAGATTCAAAACCTCAATCCAGGTTGACTATTGTTTTGGGAAAGGTAATTGTTAACTCTTAAAAGACATAATTATTAAGTCATTCATGACTTCACTAAAAAACATAAGCTTTTAGGATAGATAGTTCAGGTCACCTAACTAAGGTTTTAGATAGTTAGATCAAGTATTAGAACCTCTACATTCAAGTGATCTGATACTTTGATCCTCACTGCCCTCATTCTTCTAATAGAAAGTTGAATTTCAGCACAAGGTTGGTTGACCTATGTATCATCAATGTTACAAGGCCAAAGGGCTCGGTGAGGGGGCAATGTTACAGATGTAATATAAAACCATTATGTGTATTCACCAAGCAACTTAAAGATTTTGAAATAGTTGGTTCATGACATTAACTTTTATTGAGGTTGTACAACCATGATGGTTGTAGTTCCAGAGTAACAAACATATAGTACCAAAATTTTATGTGGTACAGAGCATACAATGAAAATTTTAAATCTTCAATTAAATGGAAGCCGCTAACAATCAGGATTTACACAAATCAAGATTATCAGAAGCAATGTCATTTAACATGCAGATATGGTCAATCCTGTGTAAAGAAATTCACCAAATAAGCATCTTTTACAAGTAATAACATTCTGTAAATGCACTATTGGGGGTTCTTGTCTGGAAAGAAAATAAGATACAGAACAAGGAAAACAGAAGCAGTAGGACCTTAGCTCCATATTTTCAAGTCGTATCCGTTCAACATAAAGGTCCTGCCCATTTTCTTCAGGGTTAATTTCATTGACTTTCGTTGGATCTTTCTTATCATGCCTTTTTGACCTTCTAGATAAAAGCTTTTCCAACCTGCAAGCAGCACAGCCTTAAAAAGTTTCTTGGAGAAAAAAATAGCCTAACTCTCTATATTCTGGGGCATTCACATGTATAGATTCAATGATATGCTCTTTCACTGCAAAGATGAAGATTGTATTGACTAAAATTCACAAAAACAATAAATTATTTTACATTGACCTTTAACATGTTTTGCTGAGACAATTTTATATAATAACTTCCCACAATGGATTATTCACTAGCATCAACTATTAAATTCACTTCCCAGTATGAGAGTTTGCTTACCTAGTTAGTCTCAACAGATATGCCCAAAAACGTCCAATGAGCATGTCCACTTTCTCCATGACAAAATAGTCAGTTGTTCGATCAATTCCAATGCCACGCCGAAAAATAACATACTAAAATAATATCATTTATTAGGTTTCATTTCACAAACAGACCAAGATCAAGAAACAAAACAAGAATCTTTAGATTAGTGTTTGTATTTGCAGGTTCAGCTCACTTGTTTTAAGGAATTACACTTTTTTTCTGATCAATAATGCAAATAAAAATAATAACTGTGAACCAGCCTTTACTGTGGATGTGTGTGTGTGTGTGTGTGTGTGTGTGAGAGAGAGAGAGAGAGAGAGAGAGAGAGAGAGAGAGGAAAAGATCAACTGCAGTCCAGCATCAAAGATGTAAGAAGTAACAAAAGCCAGATAATATAGACTCCATGTTCACAAAAACAATGAACAATGACCCTTCTTAATCTATAAACTTCTGGGGTTTCAGTTAAAACCTACAAGATTTGATGACTACCACATGTCCATTAGTAAGCATGGATCATATTCTATTGCCAATATTCAGTGCAACTTAATCCACATTTTTAAGGTTCTGTTTTCCAACAAGGATGTTGAACTACCAATACTTCAATAAAAAATATTCTAAGCCACTTGGAGTAGGATTAGTGCCTGTTGATGAGGGGTTTAGACTTTGGACAGTATGTAAATGTCTATCATCATAAGTCATAACTAAGTTATTGACAAAATATTCTGATAAAATTCACTTTTGATTTTAAAGAAGAAAGGTCTTTCTCCCAAATCAAATATTTAGTGAATTAATCAGCATGGTAACAAAGATTATGATTTCCAATAATAAATGCAGAATGATGCCTCAACAACTGTGTGTGTGTGTGTGTGTGTGTGTGTGGTGGGGGGAGGGGGGCACAGCAACAAACCTTAGAATAAATTTAAAATATCATTCTACAAATAAAATTTCAAAGAAATGGACAATAATGAGTCACAATTTCAGCAGTAAACACACACACCAACATTCCCAACCCAGACAGCTGAATAATGAACACCACAGAACCAGAAAATCCATCATGGATAAGTACCTTCCACACTAGATTCAGGACCGTACCTTATCAGAGAAATCCGGAAGGTTATCATGATGATGCTCTTCAAAATATTTCTTCAGAAGTGTCTTGTCAAGCTTTGTCAGCAAAAATAAAAAAGAAAGACATCAGCAACAGTTAGCAGCAAAATCAAGCATTCCAAGTAACTATGCCATTAAAGAAGCATATATTATGCACAAACCTTAGATTCATCAACAGTAATGGGAAGATTCAGAAGATACTGGCCTGAATGTGCAACATCAATCTCATCATCAGTAACTATCTTAAAGTTGCTCTTTTCCATGACCTGCATAAAGAATCAAAGAATCTTCACTCTTCAGATAACATAAGAAACAAATATTTGATAGATAATATGTGATGTATGATCTTTCATTGAATCCCATCTGATTATTTAGTCATGTAAATCTTATTTACAAAATATCTTTTCCTTATTTTGGAATTTGTTCTTGAAAATGCGATATATTATGATTACCTTAAGCTAAACCCTTGTCATAAGCCTTAACCTTTAATGATTGTGCAGTGTGTACTCTACAACAATATGTTTACACCACTATTCCTTTAAAAAGTAGCCATTATACTTTTTCATTCTGTTGTCCAAACAACACAAGTGAATTCTCAACACTTTAGTAGTAACAATCCCTATACTGCATCAACCTTCATCAATACCAAAGTTTACTCCTTTATATTAATACTGTAATTTGTAATGTATTTTCAAGTCTATATTATATTAACAATATCCCCCAAGATAATTGTAGACACTCAAATCCAAGAAATGGAGATGGTACCTGAAAAAGGTATGTCAAGAAATTTTGTTCAAGTGCATCAATTTCTTCTGAAGCCAACTTCTGCTGTTCCAACTTTTGTGTCCCATGTACAGGGTCAAATAGCGAGTAGAGTTGCTGAAAGCGTAGAGGAATCAAGCTCCACAACCACAAGCTATCTTTAGCTATATAAAAAAAAGATCAAGGAATGAATATACCATCAAGTCCTCAAATTGAAGAAGGTACCAAGCTCGAATTGTGTACTCTATTCTATTGCAAAGCTTCAAAAACTCAGCTCGGTCGGAACTATGTTCTGCATATACCCAGAAAAAACTCAAGCCATATTTCTTCCACTAGATTAAAAACAACATGAAACTGAATTACATAAAGGATCAGAAAAACCAGCAAAATTTCATCCCAATTAAAAGACAAAAAGCAACATCGATTCCTCACCCCAAATACTCCTCCGTTCCAAGGACAATCACAACATAACCAAAACAACACACATGCAAACAATCACATAAAAATGCTTTTATAACTACCAAAACAACAACAACCATAACACAAGGTGGAGAAAAAAAAAGGGACTAAACAAAAGTGGTACCAATAAGGTTGGCCAGAGTCATTCTAAGCTTGGGCTTCAGAATTGGAATGACAGATTCGCGCTCTAGACGAATCACTTCACTCTTCTTTCGGTCCGTTCCTTGCGAATGTGCCATTTTTTTTCTTTTTTCGAACTACCCTTTTGGTAGTTTCAGCAACACTCACTAAAAAATCAAAACTTGGAGCAAAGAAAGCGTAAAGGAAACGTTTCTATGCGAGATATGGAAAAGGGTAAATGAAACAGAGCGATTCTAATTCGACACAACAACACGACCCATTAATTCATGTTCGTGCTTCACGGCACTGTAACCGCACCCCCGAAAAGTAATGAAACGGTGGGTCACGACTCACAACGCATGCGTTTCCGACCAAACGACACTTGGATTTCTTCAAAACTTGCGAGTTGGAAACTCTCCCTCAGATGGCGAAGCGATTGTTCATCACTCACTATTCAGTGGAAACGAACTTTACTAGTTACTTACTGGTGCGTCAATCCGGAACTGAATTTTGATTTACTCAAACTTGATTTTATATTTAAATTATAAAAAACAGATCACACATTCGTAGGCAATTTTCGACAGCAAGTTGCAATTATTTTTCCTCATTCCTTCTGATTAATAGTTTACCCATTTTTTTAACTTGCACTTGGAAATAAATAATAAAAATCCAGGCCAAATAAATTTTTATTATATTATCACACTGTTGTAGTAAAATCTATTGCAAGTTGCAATTATTTTTCCCCATTCCTCCTGATTAATAGTTTACCCATTTTTTCAACTTATACTTGAAAAATAAAAATAAAAATAAAAATTCACGTATAATAATTTTTATTATATTATTAAATTAAATATATTTTAAAAAACTAGAAGCATCCTCTTAATTTTGTTTGAGTTGAATAAAATTACTACAATTTGAGTATTTCATGTACTAATAATACTAAATGCTATAGTATTTAATAAAAATATTATTATTAATTTTTATTATGATTCTCAATCATATTGACTGTTTATAACTGAAAGTTGGTAGTTCAAATTAATTGATTAAATTAGAATTATAAATTTTCTTAACTCTAATTTTTGGAATTGAGTTGAGTATATAAAAATAAGAGAATTTTGTTAAGAAGAATATACCATTGTACTAAAGTTATAAAATATGATAAATATTTAATTCTACAATAAAAATTATTACTATTAATTATTTAAATTTAATTTTAAAAGTTGAAGTTAATATTTATTTTAAGAATCATTAAATAAAGTTAGTTGTATAATTAAAGTAATAAAGTTATTTTAGGTAAGTATAAATATTAAAAAATAGCTTTAAAAAATTAAATATTATTTAGAGTAATATTTTGATAAATTCCTTTTAAAACTAATAATTTCTCTGTATTTTTTATTTATCAAAAAAATGTATTAATTTATTTAAAAATAAAATATAAATCCATACATAAATTATAATATAATATTATCAAACTCATTATTAATAACTTTGTTTAGAAACTCTTATTTTCTTTTCTCGTCCATTTTGTTATGTTTTTGTTTTCTTCGATTTACACACTGTCGATGGGTCGAGAGGTCAATGTTTTTATCGTCTTTTTGTAAGGGCGTCATTGAGTTTGACTGGACATTTCGGATGAAGGCTTGGCGTGAAAGGATAATCTATCGCTGATAATTGCCTTTTCTTTTAGATAGGAATGTAAAAATGTTGGTGTCAAGATACGAATAAAAGAATAATAGATGACTTTACTTTTCCCTTTCAAGACAACTAAGAATAGAAACAGACCCGTCAGCTGGTTTAACTCTGGTTTGTTCTGACTTTTTTAATAAATAAATTAAGCTGAGATTTTTTTTGAGGTCTGTTTAAGTAAATAAGTTAGACTTGAACTATTTATAAAGCATATTAAGCCTGACAGGTCAGCTTGTATATATATATATTATATAATTTAAAAATAGAGCTGTTAAAATATATTTAAATAATAAAATTATTAAATAATATATTTTTATATTCTTAATTTTGTTATTATTAAATTAATATATTATGTTATAATTTTATTTATTTATAATTATAATAAACATAAATTATATTCTATTAAAAATTAAAAATATTTATATATGATTACACTTTTTAAATAATAAATATATTTAATAATAAATTATTATATTTGTTATATTTAAATAAGTTAAAAAATAGTTAAGTCTTTGAACAGGAATAAGACGCAATCAAAACTGAACGAAATAAAATTTAAAAATAAAATAATAAAATTATATTAACATATTTTTTATACTCTTAATTTTATTATTATTAACTTAATTATTTAATTATTATATTAATATATTATGTTATAATTTTTTTATTTATAATAAAAATAAATTACTTAAATATGAATTATATTTTATTTGAAAGTAAATATTTATAAAAAATAATAACAAAATAAAATAAAAAACTTATTATAATATATATATATATATATATATATATATAATCAGACCATGTAGGAAATAATATAAATAATATATTTATAAATAAATTATATAATAATATATACAGTACATTAAGTTTAAATTTTTATATTAAGTTTTATCACATATTTTTTTATTAAGATAAAAATTTAGAAATATAAGTTATTTTAATTTAAATATAAATTTAATAATTCTTCATATGCTCATATGTTATTTTTCTGCATTTATAAATTTTATAATATAAATATTTTTTATCTACAATTTTTATAATGATAATATTTATTTAATTTTTAAAATATAATAATTTTTTTAGCTGATTCAACAAATTTTGTAAGTGTTATTTTTTATTATCAATTTTATGTGTTTACTGTAATTTTATTTATTGAATATAAAATATCTTTATACAAACAAAATATAATTATCATAAAAATAATTAAAATATTTAATAATTTTATAAAATTAAATTAAGAAAAATAAAAATATAAAAATTTTATAATATGAAAATATTTATAATTAATGCTCAAATAATATATTTTTATTAATATTATTTAATAACAACAATCATTATAAATTTTTAATATTATACAAATTTTATTTTATTTTTTTATCTTTTCTTAAGAAATTTTATTGGTTAATTATAAATTATATTTTATTTGAAAGTAAAAATTTATAAAAAATAGTAAGAAAATAAAATAAAAAATTTATTATAATATATATATATATATATATATATAATCAGACCACGTAGTAAATAATATAATTATAAATAAATTATATAATAATATATTTTTTTGTAACTTGCAGGTGTTTTAATTAAATTATTAGTTAATTTATCAATTTATATATATAATATATATATATATATATATATATTTTTTAATTTATTATATCAATAATATTTTCTATATTACATTAATATTATAATGTAGTTAATTTTATGTTTATTATTTAATTTAAAATAATAAATTAATGAAATAAATAAATTTAAATATTTTATAATTATTTTTTTAATTTAATAGTTATTATTATTGTCATTATATATATTGCATTAAGTTTAAATTTATTTATTTTTTGAAACATAATAATTTTCTTTTAATTGATTCAACAAATTGTGTGAATGTTATTTTTTTAATCAATTTTATATGTTCATTATAACTTTATTTGTTTAATATAAGATGTCTTTAAACAAACAAAATATGTTTCTAAAATAGAATTAAAATCTTTACTATTTATATAATTTTTAAAAAATAAATCAAGAAAAATATAAATATAAATTTTATTAATATAAATTATTTATAATTAATCCTTAAATAATATTTTAAAAATTATTTATAAAATTATATAAATATTATTATAATTATTTAATAATTATTAATAACATAGATGAAATTAAAAAATATATAAACTAATTTGATAATAAAATATTTATATTTTTATTAATATTAAATTATTATTTTTTGTAACAGACTTGGTTAATAGGCTTCAGGCCAGGTTAGGCCACTTAAACAGGTCAGATCAAGCCTAAAATAAAGCCTTTAACATGTAACAGGTCAGGCTCAAACCTATTAATTATGTTACAGGCCAAGTCTGTTTAGAGTAAAGTCTGGCATAGCCTGACTTGTTTCCATCCCTAAAGAGAACCAAGTTAGCTACCAGTTAAAGCATAAATTCATTTCCCTTAAAATAAAGTTTTTATTTTTTAAAAATTTGCAATTTGTTTTACTTTTTTAATCTGATTCTAAAAAAATTATTAGTTTTAATATAATCTCTTTATTGTTTATTTACATAATATTTAAGTTTCCTCATATAATTTGATTGAAATATAACATAAAAAAGATGTGTCGGCGGTAATATCATATCTTTCATATTTTTAAATAAAGTTTGATTATAAAATTAAGACTTCTAAAATTAAATTTTACAAACACGAAAGAAGTAAAAGTGAAAATGTTGCATTATTTTATATCATAAAAGTTAGATATCATACAAATAGATAATAAAAAATGAATTATTAACAGAATGACTGTTTGGAAAACAAAAATAATTTTTCGGAGATTTCTTTTAAAAAATAAAAATGAGAGATTAAATATACATTATGAATTTTTGGAGAACCAAAACCTTATTTAAGTCAGTTTGTTTTTATAAAAATAAAGAGATTTTAGCAAGTAAAAAAAATTATAAAAGCACAAAATCCTTTAAATTGATTTAGCAAGCTAATGTAATTTAAGTTTAAATGGATAATATTATATCAATAACCAAAAATATTTTACAAGAACAAAACCAGAATATAAAAATTTTAAAAAGTAAAGTGATCCAAAACAGTTAAACTAAAATGAGTAAATATATTTTTATTTCTCATAAATATAGTTAAATTCAATTATAATCCTCTAAATATATTTGTGTTGGTTTAGTCTTTAAAAATTTTAAAAATAGGCCATGATATGTACGTATATATATATTAAATTATATATAATTTTAAAATGTTACTCACATCACATAATTATATACATTCATGTTACTAATTGAAAGTTACTAACTATAATATATATATATATATATATATATATATAATTACGTGAGTTTTATTTTTAATTTAATAAGTCACACTTGTAATTTGATTATTTTTAATAAATTTCAACGAAATAATATGTTAAGAGTGTTTTGCTAAAACTTTTTGTCACTAAATGATAATACATATTATTTTTAAAATTTATAAAGACTAAACAAAAGTGGAAATACTAAAACTAAATTTAATTATAGATTAAAAAATATTCAAGTTAATTAAAAATTAAGTTAAAATAATAGTTTAATTTTTATATGTGACATTTTTTGTAATATTGTCTTTTTTTAAAATTAAGAGATGTTATCATCAACAAACTCAAGTTTATTCTTAGCAAAGAGTGTCATTTTCATGGCTTATTTCCAAGAATTATAGTTATAACCAATTAATTGTTGAATGACAAAAAGTAATCTTTGATTGTTAGAAGGATATAAA